TTAGAATCATTTCCATGAATCCCATCCCCAGAATATCTAATTCTCTACATGTAAATGTTCACACCACTCTGGCTTCCAGCACTTCAGGAAAGGTGTTTGCTATTAGAGCAACAAAGAGTATTTCTACAAAGACACTGATCACCCATTAGTGACAGGTACTGAGCAGTTTTAACTAACATTACAGAACAAGGTAGAAGAAAATCAACAAGGTACAGTACTTATCATTTCTCATTCACATAGGAGATCTGAAAATGAGGAAAAAGAGGCAGGCAGAAAGATTGAGGGGTTGTGTCTGAAGGAACACCCAGTTCTTAACATCATTTACTCTAAGGGATTAGACAAATATCTTCATGGGAAGATGTTTTAATTTCTCTAACTAAGGTTTGATCAAGAAGAAATTATCAAAAGTAATAAACATAGCCAAAGAATTTTTGTAAAATAATGAAGACATCATTTGGCAACTGTGACAGAGATCACATGCACATGAGACCCTAGATTTAATTCCTAGCACCACCAAAAGAAAGAAAAAATAGTTTACATGATTGCATACTAGTAAAGATTCTGTCTGCATTTGAAACCCACTCTTGCTGCTTACTATACTTCTGTGACCTCAGAAACGTTGCCTCCCTTTATGTGTTTCACTTTAACTTATAGACTAGAATGATAACAGTAACTGTACTACAGTAGTAAGAATTAAAGGAGATGTTCTACATAGAGTGCTTAGAAAATGCCTAATACCAAGTAGTCAATAAGTGTTATCCATCATAGCCTTTCCTACAACTAAAATATACAATGAATACTGTGCAGCCATGCTACTATTTAAAAAGTACTAATTAAAGGAATAATAAATCTTACTATTCTTTTAGTTTTGTGGGTATTTACATCAGTGAAATTTGGCTTTCTTTTCTAGGAAAAGTTCATTTTCCAATTGTCAACTTGGCTACCTCCTCAAACTGTCAGTGATGAAATAAAATAGGCACTCCTCGACAACCTCAGAAATGTAACAAACTTCAGCAAGACACCTATGACCACACTCACTATCTAGGTAATACTACTTTTCTCATAATCTATACAAAGACAGGTATACAGAAAGCTGTATGGTTACTTATAACAAACAAAAAACTGGTAACACTCTCAGTGTCTCAAGAATAAATAAACTTCTCAGCAGCAATCCAATTTTTTTGTTTGTTTGTTTGTGTTTTTCAAGACGCACCATATAGTTTAGTTCTAACAATTTTTAAAGAGCAGTAAAATTCACATATTCACATAACAATCACAAAGAGCATATGGCATGAGGGAAGAAAGATAATTCACTGTCTTCACCCTATCTTATCTGTTTCTCAGATATCTGGGTCCATCTGCCTAGTCTATTTTGAAAATAAAGCTTAGAAATACTTACCAAAAACAGGATTTTTTTTTTTTTTTGCCAAGCAGTGGTGGCCCACACCTTTAATCTCGGCATTCATAAGGCAGAGGCAGGAGGATCTCTGTGAGTTCGAGGCCAGCCTGGTCTATAGAGTAAGCTCCAGGACAACAGCCAGGGCTGTTACACAAAGAAATCCTGTCTCAAAAACACCAAAAAATATAAAATAAAATAAAAAACAAGATTTTGTTAAGTGTCTCCAAGCTTCAAATTTGTTATCCCTAGAATACAGGCATCTAAAAATTCTCAACTAGGATGCTAGCTGTGTGTATAGCACAAGTTTTATTTGTATCTGTTTAGTTTTAAATTGAACAGATTGTGGAATAATAAATCTGATTTACATTTGTTACAAATGCCATTTCAAAGAGGTTTTTCTATTCAGAACTGAGAAATAGAATTAAAGACTGAATGCTTGCTTACTAAGTTCAAAACCTGTTCTAGTTTTTACCCCAAAGGTCATACAGTTTTATCTTATTTGAGTCCCACATTTGTTTGAGAGCAATATCACTGATGAAAATGCAGTTATTGAGAGGTATCTAGAAAAATTTCAAGAATTAGTTAGATGTTCATTACCGATGATTTATGATTTACTACACTGTGTATTGCTAAGGTTCTAAGCTTGTGTTCATCATCCTGAGCTGACACAGCTTATGACTGACTAACCACTCTAAATTAGGTTGCTGACTTAACTATCAAACCCAGTAAAAGTCAGAATCAACCATGAAACTAGAGTGCTTCTCAAAAATGTGCACTGTCAAAGCCAACCCAGCCCTATTTGATTTAAATCTCTGCATTTTTTTTTCTTTCAGTATAAACCTCCTACAATGATTCATAATTGTTATCTGGGTATTGTCCTAAAAGGTATCATGATAAACTTGGAAGAAAAAAAAAAATAAACACCACTCAGAATGTAATGCCAGAAAGAAACAAGGGCTAAGCAGAAATGTTTATTTGAGCTGATATCTTGCCTCAAGTAGAACTCAAAAAGAGGAAGGTGAACAAATATAAAAGCATATATAGCCGGGCGGTGGTGGCGCACGCCTTTAATCCCAGCACTCGGGAGGCAGAGCCAGGCGGATCTCTGTGAGTTCGAGGCCAGCCTGGGCTACCAAGTGAGTCCCAGGAAAGGCGCAAAGCTACACAGAGAAACCCTGTCTCGAAAAACCCAACCAAAAAAAAAAAAAAAAAGCATATATAAACAATGGCTAACCTTGGTCATTCTATTTCTACATAGTGAAAAAAGACAGTTTGTAAATGACTGAATATTATCCCAGAGACATCTGAAGCCTCTTTATTACTGCTCACTAAATGGGAAACAATTCTAAAGTCTCATTACCTTATCCACATCATTCCTGTCTGAACATTTAGCTCCAGTCACCAGAATAAACATCACCTATAAGAATTATTGACAAAATACCTACTCAAGGTATTCAAGTAAACTACCTGGGGTTATTGCACTGTTGTGTACAAAAACAATTACAGCAGCAAATACAGAATCTGTGGCAACATATTATAATTAGTTAATTCATATAACAGCTTTTTTTTTTTTTTTTTTTTTTTTTGTTTTTTGAGACAGGGTTTCTCTGTGTAGCCCTGTCTGTCCTGGAACTCACTCTGTAGACCAGGCTGTTTTTTTTTTTTTTTTGGTTTTTTGAGACAGGGTTTCTCTGTGTAGCTTTGCGCCTTTTCCTGGAACTCACTTGGTAGTCCAGGCTGGCCTCGAACTCACAGAGATCTGCCTGCCTCTGCCTCCCGAGTGCTGGGATTAAAGGCATGCGCCACCACCGCCCCGCTTATAACAGCTATTTTTAAAACAAGATAGTCACGGGTCACTAAATACTTACATCAGCACATGTAACATAAACCAGACCACATTATAACCAAGAAATAGAACATAATTTTTATGAGGAAAATCAGGCCTATTTGCCTTTGAAATACACATTTAGTAAGTTACATTTTAAAAAATTATCTGGGGCTGGAGATTAAGAGAACCTACTGCTCTTGAAAAGGACCTGGGTTCAGTTCCCAGCACCCACATGGTAGCTCATAAAACCTGCTCTAGAAGAGTTGACACTGTCTTCCTGCCTCTGTAGTCTCCTGAACAACCAGGGTGCACAATCATGCAAGCACACATATCCCAGTTAGTCTAAGAAGAGGGAACCATAATTGAGAAAATGCCTTCACTAGATCAGCATGTGCACAAGCCTGTGGGGCATTTTCTTGGTTAATAATTGATGCTGAAGGGTCCAGCTCACTGTGGGCAGTGCTATCCCAGGGCAGGTGGTCCTAATGATATAAGAAAGTAGGCTGAGCAAACCATGAGGAGGAGCAAGCCAATAAGCAGCAATCCTCAATGGATTCTGCTTCAGTTCTTGCCTCTAGGTTCCTGCCCTACATGAGCTCCTGTCCTGATACCCCTTCATGCTGGTCTACAAAAAAGACTCTTTCCTCCCTAAGCTGCTTTGGTCATGGATGTTTTATCACATCCAACCTAAGCAAGACAACACCATATATACATAAAACCAAGAATTTTTTAATTTAAAAAAATATCTTATCAAGGTGTGGTGGGTCACATTTGTAATCCCAGAAATGGGAAGACAGAGGTAGGAAGGAGAATGGCTAGTCCAAGGCTAGCCTAGTCTACATAGTAAGTTCCAGATCAGCCAAGGCTACAAAGATCCTATCTTTAAAAAGAAAAAAAAAAGTCTTTTAAGAAGAATATATTCAGTCATGGATTGGCAAACTATGACCCAAAAGAAAAAGGTGTCCTACTGCTTTGTAAACAAAGTTAGCTTGTTGATTTGTTTGTGGCAGGGTCTCTTGTACCTCACACTGACCTTGAACTTGTTATATACTTGAGAATGACCTTGACTTCTGATCCTTTAGCCACCATCTCATAAATGCTGGAATTACAGGCTTGAGTCACTACTGCCCAGTTTTACTCAGTGCCAGAGACTAAAATCAGGGCCTACCCCATGCTAGGCAGGCACTGTACCAACTGAACTACAGCCCTAACCCCAAATTAAGTTTTACTGAAATATGTATATATGAAGACCGTGGAATAAGGGAAGATACAACCAGCAACTAAATTATGAAATAAGGTTAATAAAAAGAGACCCCAAATGTGGGCATGGCAGCACATGCCTATAATCCCAATACTCGGGAGACAGACGTAAGAGGATTGCATGCTCTTTCTATACATTCAGTATAAGGCAGGTATGATGGCTCATACCTGTAATCCCAGCACTTGGGAGGGTGAGGAAGAAGATTGCTGCAGGTTCATCCGGTGTTTAAGGCTACACCAGGCTACAAAGTAAAATTCTGTCTCAAAAAATTAAAACAAATAAAAAACTTTTTTATAAGAACTAGAATTCTGAAGCCAAAATTCAGAAGAGTGAACTAAAACTTTATACAGCTTAGAATAGCAATGAAATAAAAGATACATAATTTCTAAAACATATATTTCGCTGTTCAAATCAGAAACTCACACCCTGAGGAGTATACACTTTCCCTAACAATGTAATATTCTTTAAGCATGAGAGTTATTTGTGTAATTGTTTTGAGTAGTCAAACTTACCGAGTACCATCTGCTTTCCAGCTTACTTTATATGGCTTCTGTTCTAAAAGTCTAATATTTTGCTTGTCCATGGAAACAGGCTGTGCTCCAGGAAACCCAGACCTTAAAGAAAAAACATTATCCTGTCATGGCTACAACCCATATAATGCTATCTTTGTGTTAAATCAATGGCTCATATATTGATCATAATGTGATTAATCATGAGATTAATTTCAAATAGATTAGCATCAGCTGTCACAAAAATTCTAACAAAGATTATCACTCTCAGCCAGGAATGATAATTTAATTAATTACTTTAATCTCAGCACTCAGAAGTCAGAGGCACATGGATCTCTGTGAGTTTGAAGCCAGCCTGGTCTACATAGTTAATTCCAGGACAGCTACAAAGTGAGATCGTCTCAAAAAAGAAAAAAAAAAAAAAAAAATCACTCTCTTAACATTTTATAATACAAGTTTACAGGGTACTAAATTGCCACTGCTATAATACTGGGCTAATTTTAAAATGTTATTATGCAGGACTAGAGAGAAAGCTCAGTGGCTAAAATGCTTCCTATGTAAGTATGAAGGTCTGTGTTGGGGTTCCCAGCACCCATGTAAAAAGCCAAGCCTGGCAACAGGTGCTCTAATCCCAGCACTAGGGGTAGGGGAGTGGGGGGTGGAAACAGGAGGATCCTAGGAGCTAGTTTTGTTAAGGTAATTAAGCTAATACTCAAGCTTTTCTCTGAAGTATAAGACTTTAAAACACACCTGCTTTACTATTTAAATCATGCATAATAAATTATGGGGGGAAGCATCACAATTAGCCCACACATGCACAGTGGAGGCAGAGGTTGACACTGGGGGTATTCCTCTATTATTCTCCACTGGTAAGACCAATCCAACATTAACCAGCACCAGCAGAAACAGAGATCGAAGAAAACAACTCTGGTGACAACAGTAATGTATTCTTGAGGACGATGTGAGTTATCTGATCCTGATTCAACTTGACAGTTACAGATTACTGTGAAAAACACCTGACATCCTCTTACACACTCAATGTACACACTAACTTTAGGGAGCTAAAAAAAAAAAAAAAAAGTGAATGTCTGTATTAATTTTACGTGTTACACAAAGAAACTTGAAAATATTCCTTACCCTTCCCAGCCACAGAACTGATGACATTTCTGCTGTACTTCTCCTAACTTTGGTTGAGTTGTTACTTGAGTTACACCTTTAACAGTTATACCTTCCAAGAAAATAGCACCCTTTAAAGAAAAGAGAGAATAAAATGATGATAGTAATATATATGTGTGTGTATATATGCACACATATATATAATTAAAGGACAAATGTATTTACAAATAAATGAATTAGTTTATTTTCACAAAGCTAAGAAAACATATTAAATAGAATTGGTCTGTTCCACCTGCAGTACTAGTGACATCTATAACCCAACAAGTCGGGGGACTCAGGCAAAAGGATTATAATTCTGAGGCCAACATAGGCTATATAGCAAGATCCCATCTCAAAGTCAAAGAAAAGAAAAGGTATACTCCAGGGGAGTCTATAAATTTTTCTACACTTGTGTTTTTACACTATTTAAAACTAAAACATTAGTCTTAGTGTATACTAAATTAGTTTCAGACACATCAGAGACCTTCTGGCTTCACTTTCAAGTAAAATCTACATAAAACGCTAGCTGATAATGTCATTAAAGAATAAAAAACCTGGTCTACAAGTTGCAAAGTTCAACCATCTGGCCAAGATCTGGCAAACAATCTATTTGGGAAGAGGAAGAAAAACATTCAGAGTTCATCCACATACACATCACTGTCAGGTCCACAGAAGTCCTAAGTCTTTCCAGTAGATAGCACTCCTACATTCTGCCTCAAACTCAGAATTAATATGTATCGTCATCTAGTAAATCTTCAACTCTGATGGCCTTAATTATAATGATAATGTAGGGATCCCATGACCTAAGGATCAAAGAAACCAATGCTTTCCTATTAATACCATTACCTTGACCCAACAACAAAATTCCTGTTTTAAAACCACATCTAGGGGCTGAATAGAGGCTCAGTGGTTAAGAACACTTACTGCTCTTGTAGAAGGACCCTGGTTCAATTCCAAGCACCCACACAGCAGCTCACAATTATCTGGAACTCCAGTCCCAGGTAATCCAACACACTTTTCATACTTCCATGGGCACCAGACACACAGGTGGTGCACATACATATATACATACATACAAGTAGAACATTCATACACATAAAATAATAAATCTTAAAAATAAAAACACACTTCTAATGCCAGCTGTAGTGATGTATGACTATCATTCCAGCACAATGGAACCTGAGTGAGGAAGCCTACAAGTTCAAGGCCAGCTTGGGCTACACAATAAGTTTGAGGTCATCTAGGCTCTATATATTGACAGCCTGTTTAGAAAACTCTTAAAAACAAGGTCATTTCTATTATTAAATACTAAGTAAGAAAAATACATCCTGAAAGCAAAGCTCTAAGACTCATCGTATGGTGACTAAGAATACCCAAGTGGTGTCAATATCCCTATAAAATATTATCTTAAATATGCCCAGCTTGTGCCTTGTACCTAAGATCCTCTCTTTTCTAAACCAGCATGCTTAAAAGTCAATATTAAAAATTTCTTTAATAAAATCCCAAATCTTCCTTAAAAAAGAAAGGAAAGAAATGCACACAAGGACATTACAAAAGCTAAGCAAGCACTCTACCAGTCCCTTGGTGTAACTTTTAAAGTTCTTTCCACTGGAAAGGCATAAAAAATAAACCTTTAAATTGCATCTCATTGTGCAACTCAATAACTATTATAATAAAAAAATCAAATATTATTTTCAAAAATATATTAAGCACATATGCTCAAGATTAATGTTGCTTTTAAAAAGTGTATTTGAAAGCCAGACATGGTGGGACATGACTGCAATCTAAATCATCTACGTATTTCAATTTCCTTATAAAAATGTATCATAAAGAGCAAGCAGAGCATGTAAAAGGGCTCAGGGTACAAAGGCCCTTTCAACCAAGCCTAAAGACCTGAGTTTGATCCCCAGGGTGGGTGGAAAAACAGACAAGACTCCAAGTTGTCCTCTGACTTCCACAGGTGTGGATGGATGTGTATATGTATATCCACGAAAGAATATCTGAAGTTAACAATCAGAAAATACGAAAAGGGGGGCATAACAGACACCAAGGAAATCCAGAGACTCATAAAGACATACTTTAAAAACCTGTATTCCACAAAACTAGAAAATCTAAATGTCATTAAAAGTCTCCCAATGTAATGCAATTTGCTAATCCTTGAATGTTATTATTACCAACTATTAGGATATAAAGAAATGAAAGTTAGTAGTTAGACATTACATTCAAACTGGTAGTCATTTTAGGTATGTTTTCAAGGTCAAGCAGATACATTTTAGATAGACAGGTCATCTTCAAACTCTTCAGAGATCTACAGAATATGATATTTAAAATGTTTTAATAACTTAGAAAATTTTTCTTTTTTTTTTTTTTTATGACTATGAGACATGTTGGCTCCTGGCAACACCAATCTACTTCAGAGAAAATATGAGCATTGAAGAAACTGCATATGGAGTTAACTTTCATTGTGGCAAAACTTAGCCACTGGACAACAAAGTATCCTTGAATCAAACAGGACAAAATGAACAGGACACGAAACAAAGGACTACCGATTCTTGCCAAGACAAGTGTGGTTGTGGCTTTAACAACAGGCATCTTCTGAGGCCAGGACAATATGGCACCATCCCTGAAGTGACCTTTGCAATCAGGAAAAGGTACAGTGCCCCTTTCTTCTAAAGCAGCTAAACAGACAGTGGACCGATGGCTTCTGGTGTGCAGTGGAACAATAGCTGAAACAGTTATTCTTAAAAGAATAACTAAGCTGACAGAGTCTAACCTCTCAATAGTAGACTGGCATTTAATAAAAGAGGTGAAGCAACCCACAAGCCAAGAAGAATGGGATGTGGAGAAGAACAGGATGCTGAGATGAAGCCACCCACAAGCCAAGAAAAATGGACAGCTTAATTCAAAAAACATCAAAATTTCCAGAATTTAAAATCCTGAATCATGACAGGACACTAGTGGAATTCAGGTGTTTCTGGTACATGGACTGCTCTCTCCAAATGTGAGGTCAAACTGTAGGCTTTGTGTACATCCTACTTCACAAATGAGACTGTCAGATACGCTAAGCATATAGGCTGAAGAAGATGCCCCAATGTTGCGGAGAAACCTCAGGTGACTGTCCAGGCAGCTGGCTGTTTCTGTCATAACTCCCAGTTTTTTGGAAGTTGCTTGTTTGCACTTCCTGTTTTATTAGGTAATATTATTTCCTTCTTGGGTCTCTGAGGGAGTTGAAGATTAGATAGGTATAGTTTTCCTTGTTAATCATTTCAGAAAAGAAACTCACTAAAGAGGTTTAAGTGTATAAATTTGAAAGACATTATAAGATAGTTCTGTTAGTAATATAAGTTAGGATAGAAAGTGAATCAGGTACATTTTGGACTTACCAAAATAGAATAATGGAATATTTTCTCTGAGTTTGTCAAATGCAAATGGACTAGACATTGTTTAGGTATTTATTGCTTATATATTATATATAGTTATTATAGTTATTGTATATAATTTTTCTTACATTAGTTATAACTTTTTTCCTTTTTTCTTTTTGTTAGAATAGAAGGGGGAAATATGGTGATATTTTATTTGTGCTGAAATGTAATTTTATTTGTATGTTAATAAATAAAGTTGCCTGGGGATCAGAGTTAAGAGTAAGCCATTTAGCAGAAGTCCGTCAGTGGTGGCACATGCCCTTAATGAGATCACATGGCAGGCAGAGTCCCTGTGTGTTCAAGGACACAGCCATGCGGTGACCCAAACCTTTAATCTCAGAACAAACCAGAGACCTGGAGGTCTATATAGACAGGCAATGATGAGGAAGTCATGTGGTTGGGTTAAGAACCAATGAGAAGGCAGAACAGAAAGGCAATAAAAAGACAGGACACAGGAAGAAGGTCTCTCTCCGAGGGAAAGGACGGCAGTGAGTGGTAAGTTTAAGGCTCAGATCTCTTGGGCTTTTAACTCTGTATTTGGCTCTTGTGTTTCTTATTTAATAAGACCATTTAGAATTTCATCTACATAACTCCACTCTAACACTTTTAATTAAACACAGGGTCTCATGTATCCCATCCTTACCAACAACTATGTAGCAGAGGGTGGCCTTGAACTCCTGAGTGCTGGAATCAGCATGCATCACTATGCATCATTTATACAGTACTAGGAAATGAACACAATGCTTCATGCATGCTTGGCCAAGTATTCTACCAACTGAGTTGTAGCCCAACCCAACTTCATTAAACTTTTATTCCTAGAAGAAAAGTTGACTAGAAGTAGAAGTCTTCTAAGTTGTATATAGTACAAAGGAAACACCACCTATGGCAGGGGACAGGTACATTAACTCTATGACTATTTTGTAAAAACATTCTCACTTTGTTATTAGGTAACATACTAAATCTATTGTTAATACTAAATGTAGTTAGTTTATTACCTAATCTCAATCTAACATCTAAGAGTTCTTTGGTTTACATACGAAACAAAACCAGGATGAAATTTCTTAATTCCAACTTTTCTCTGAAAAATTAGACTGCTGGGCTGCAAGATGGCTCAGCACTTGTTGCCAAGCCTGACAACCTGAGTTCGATCCCAGAATGCACAAGATGGTTGGGCAGGAATGAGTCCCACAAGTTGTCCTTGACCTCACATTCCCATCACAATAGGCAAGCCCCTCCACCCAAAGAATAAATAATTCTGTAAGACAAAATTTTAAAGACAAATTCTGGCTCATCTTTAAAAGTGAAACATGGTGAGACATGCCTATAATCTATCTCAGCACTAAGAATATTATTCAGCACTGTGACAGGACAACTGGGAGGTGAGACCAGCCTGGGCTTTCATAGTAAGACCACATCACACCTTCTTAAGGTCTCCATCTGGCTCATGATGTCAGGAGTTATTTAATGGGTTTCAGGTAGAATCAAAATTAATTTCATAAAATCAGAGGCCATTATTATGTTCTTCAACACATATAGAGAAAGAAAGAGAAAGACATAAATAACAGAAATATAGCTAATATCCCACAATAAGTTTAAACAAAAATATGAGTATTATGGTATTTGGAAGCCATCAGGATGGCTCAGCAGGTAAGAGTTCCTGCAGTGAGCCTGACAATCTGAATTTCACCCCCAGGACCCCATACATAGTATGAAAAGAGAACTGACTCCCATGAGTTGCCCTCTGACCTCCACATGCATAGTGTACCATTCCCACACCAAGGCACATATATTCAAGCATGCATATACACAAAATAAATGAATAAATGTAATTTAAAAGAATTTTAAAATAATATTGCAGTATTTGTGAACATTACCAGTTTTAACCGTTCTTTTCTCCTTTTACCAAAGGAAGCACTTGACCCTGGTTCTGAGTCCTTTTTTCCATCTTCATCCTCATCATCTTCATCATCATCCTCAAAACACCAATCTGGCAAGACAGGTGGTGGTGGTGCTTCTTCTATATCACCATAGCGACGAAAAAGTTCCTTCAAATAATCACCCTTATAGATTCCTGGTGGTCTGGCTTGGGCAAATGTAGCAACTGCTGCTTCAATACTACAGAAAACAATCAATGCAGTTTTCTCACTAGTGTCCGTTTATGTGGACTTACCAATAATTAATTCATACTCAAAGTACCACAAAAATTATAATAGGCATATAAGACAGACAAACCAAAGTCTTTCTTTACCAGCAAAGCTTTCAATCAATAATAAACTGATTCTAAAAACACATACACATGATACACTGCAACATATGGTACACATAGATCATCCACCTATAATGCATGGTACACTATAATACATGGACCACTATAATACATGGTCTACTATAATATATGTTACTTTCTAAATATATGGTACACTATAAATGCCTAAAGCACATTGCTATGACTGTTTATGACAGACATGGGTAGCCAATGAAAAAAAAATTTAATAAAGCACTGGAGGTCAAGGTCTCAAAGAGAAAAGAGCAGTCAAGAAAAGCAAAGTCAACAAACACATTGATTTCTAAGAAACTACCAGCAGACCCAGACCCAGGCACCAAGAATATACATCTTGAGAAAGAGGTAACCATTGGCTGAGTCTGATATAGGAGTCTGATTTATTGTGTATAGTATTTTGAATAGCCAAAGCTGAAAAATGCACAAAGCAGAAAACCACTAAATGTAAAAGAAATAGAAAACGGACAATCAAATCCATGTTTTGCCTGACTATATTCCAAAAAAGGATATTGGGTAAAAGGTTTTAGAAATATAAACTATGGCCGGGCGGTGGTGGCGCACGCCTTTAATCCCAGCACTCGGGAGGCAGAGGCAGGCGGAGCTCTGTGAGTTCGAGGCCAGACTGGGCTACCAAGTGAGTTCCAGGAAAAGGCGCAAAGCTACACAGAGAAACCCTGTCTCGGGAAAAAAAAAAAAAAATATATATATATATATATATAAACTATGAACCTAGAGCAGTAATAAGAAAATCCAGTCAGCAATATTCTAGTCTCAATTTCTGGTAACTAGGTTCTAATCCCTCAAAATCTAAAAATATACTTTACAAGTAACATGCTCAATAAAGACAAGATTTGTTTAAAATAGAGTAATGCCATCCTAAAATGCTTCCTTCATATAGCATTATATGCTTTTCCTAGTTTAACAACTATAGTAAATAAATTTCAAAGGAAAACAAAAGACATTTCCAAAGCTGAATACAAACACTGGAAGATCCAACATCTGCTTATTCTAAATACAAGAAAAAACATGGAAAAGTAAGTATACCATTTATAGGATTCATAAGCACCATGAACTGTCACATACATCTTCTTCTACTATAATAAACCTATATACCTCCAATCCATCTTCTCCACCAAAAAGGCACATATGAGGAAACCGGTCCGGTTGAAGCCATGGGTACAGTGAACACCTAGAAGAGAAAGTAGCTTGAGTTAATCTAAACCACTCCAAAGGCCACATTCTATTTTAAATGACAACTGCTTTCCAAACAGTTCAGTTACTTAATTATACTACATAATTGTACATTCCACTCAAAATACACGTTTAACTTAATAGCTTGTCAATTTATGTGGCTTAGGATCTAACTGAGAGTACTAGACAGAAATTCAAAAACAATACACTAGTTCATTGGTTTAAAACTATCTACTGTCTAAAATTTTTCATTAAAAATTTTCAAGAATTTTAGTTTTAAACACACAGGTCAGAAGGACATACACAAAAACAAGACACCTATATTCCACAACTTTGATCCTGTTTTTCCAGCCCTCCTTATGATCAACATGAAAGACAGTCAAACTATATTGGGAAAGAAAGTAAAATAATTATATGGATATAAAATCATGGAAGGATTAACAGTAGTTGACTGTAATCAACTAAAGTCATTGGCTGCTATAGTGATGTGAATGAAACTGGCCCCCATAGGCTCACACCTTATTTGAAAGGATTAGGACACATAGCCTTGTTGGCGTAGATGTGGCCTTGTTGAAGGAAGTGTGTCACTGGGGCTGGGCGTGGAGGTTTCAGAAGGTCAAGCCAGGCCCAGTGTCACTCTCTTCCTGCTGCCTGACATTCCAGATGCAGAACTCTCAGCTACCTCTCCAGTATGAGGTCTACCTGCAAGCTACTACGCTCCCTGCCATGACAATGGACTAAACCTCTGAAACTGTAAGCCAGCCCCAATTAAATGTTTTCCTTTATAAGAGTTGTCAATGATCAAGGTGTCTCTTCATAGCAACAGAACACATACTTACTAAGACAGCTGCAGATAACTTAATTGACTCAGTATAGTAAACCTATACTATTTTGAAGTGCTTTACAAACCAACTGAGTGTATCTTTACATGGGACTTAAACTATTTTAAAAATAAATTTTTACAAGAAAGAAACACACGAAGAAAATAAATGTATTTTTCTTAAACCCTCTTTCAGAATATATTCAAGATTATTTTCCTGGGCATGGTGGTACACCCTATAATTAAAGCATTTAAGAAATATGAGGATGATCAGAAGTTCAAGGTCATCTTCAGCTATACATCAAGCTAAGGCTAAGCTAGACTACAGGAGACCCTATCTCCAAAAGGAGGGAGGGAGGAGAGTGGAGAAGATCATTTTAACAGTTTTAAGTTTTCATTCCTGTTTTCATTCCAGCACTTAAGAGCCTGAAGCAGATGGATTAGTCCAAGAGTGATGCCAGTCTGGACTACATAGTAAGACCCTGTCTCAAAGCACAAAACAAAACATAAGAGTTTGGAAATAGTAATTAAAGCTGAATAGTGGTAGCACAGGTCTTTAATCCCAACACTCAGGAAGCAGAGACAGGTGGATCTCTGAGTTTGAGACCAGCTTGGTCTACAGAACGAGTTTCAGGATAGCCAGGGCTACACAGAGAAACCCTGTCTCAAGAAAGAAAGGAAAGAGAGAGAGAGAGAGAGAGAGAGAGAGAGAGAGAGAGAGAGAGAGAGAGAGAGAAAGAAAGAAAGAAAGAAAGAAAGAAAGAAAGAAAGAAAGAAAGAAAGAAAGAGAGAGAGAGAGAGAGAGAGAGAGAGAGAGAGAGAGAGAAAGAAAGAAAGAAAGAAAGTAATTAAGAGTTTTATGGCATTACTAATGTAATATTACTGCCAGATCAACTGACTATCCAGCAGACTCAAAATGAACTCTCATAAAAGCCAGGTGTGGTTCTCTACACCAGAAATCCCAATGTTTAGGAGAATGAAGCAGGAATTTGGAAAGTTTGAGGTCAGCCTAGGGCATAAAGCTACATCTAATTTAAAAAGAGCAACAAAATAGCTCAACAGGTAAAAGTGATTGTCATGAAGCCTAACCTCAGTTTAATCCCAAGAATCTGTATACGGAGAGAACCGACTCCTGTAAATTGCCCTCTAACCCCCCACATACTTGCTGTGGCAGATATGCACCCACACAGGCACAGGCACACGCACAGGCACACGCACCCGCGCGCACGCATGCATACACACACACACACACACACACACACACACACACACACACACACACACGTTTAAAAATAATTGTTTGAATAACAACTAAGGTGCAATATTTAGGCCCTGAGTTCAACTTCCAGCATTGTGGTACATTCTCATAAACTCAGCCCTCAGAAGGTAGAAGCAGAAAGATTCTGAGTTCCAGGCCAGCATAGGCTACAAAGAGCCTATCTCAAAAATTGAATAAAGTTAAGTATCATTTTCATCTCATTTCTACATGTAAGATTTCTCTACAAAAGTGTTTTTGTTAGTTAAAATGACAATTTTGAAAATGACTATTAGCTGAGCCAAATTATTTCACCTTCAGAGCATAAAATAATCATTAATATTAAAAATAAAATATTTTACATAAACAACCCTCATAAACAAGGATACAAAGAAAGAACAGATAGTAAGAATATGTTCAAATGTAAATATAGTAATCAAAAAGCACATGCAGCAAACTATAAATCAATCTCAGTGGCTAACGCATGGGATATCCTAAGAAAGTAATGCCAAACACAGTTCAACAAAATCCTCTTGAGGCCAGTAAGATGGTTTAGCAGGAAAAGCTTGCTGGGCAAGGCTAACCTGACAGCTATTTGTACTTATACTTAGCTTTTTTTTTTCTTTTGAGACAGTGTCTCTTTATGTAGATTTGGCTGTCCTAGAATTTGCTAGATAGACCAGGCTAGCCTCCAACTCACAGACTCTCCCTGATTCTGCCTCTCAAACGCTGGGATGGAGAACCATGACCATACACAGGCCAACAATGCCTTTCTAAAGTTAGTTTCTCAAAACACAATCACATATGAAATTCTATTGTTGTATCTTGTCTCTCTAGTTTCTCTTTTTTCAAGCCATTAAAAGTTTCTTAGATAAGGTGGGGTGGTGGTGGTGGTGATACACGCCTTTAATCCCAGCACATGGGAGGCAAAGGCAGGCAGATCTCAGTAAGTTCAAGACCAGCCTGGTCTACAGAGTGAATTCCAGGACAGCCAGGGCTACACAGAGAAACCCTGACTCCAGGAGAGAGGAAAAAAAAAAAGTTTCCTAGAGAAACAAGTCATTTTCTTGTAAAAATAGTCTACACTCTAAATTCCTCTACTTGTTCTCCCATGGTATTAATCAAAGTTTATACAAAATGCTTGAGACCAGAAGTGGTTTAGGTCTTGGTTTTCTTTTCCAGTTTTGGAAAATTTATTTTGGGGATTGAATTCATGTCTAAATATGAAACTAATTTATGCTTCATAAAAACCTAGCCTAAAAGTAATATTGTAGAACTACTCTTAACAAAATTTTAAACAAAATTTCATGGGGGAAATTTGCTATTTGTAGTGTAATAACTATATTAAAAATGCTTGTGGTTTAAAAGCATTTTTAATTTTAGATGTACAGACTATGGATTTCTAACCTATAAACTATTTCTTTATCTACGATATAGTCCATGAATTTAGTCTAGAAACATTACTAAATTCATATCCAGATGCATTCTAGTACTTCAGACAGGAATATTGTGTAGATGGTTCTATGTGCTTCACAGTACACAGGAAATAATCAATTGTTGCAGTTGTTTTTCTTTTTCTTTTTCTTTGTGTGACTATGTATATGGAGACCAGAGGTCATTCCACACCCTGTCCCAAAACAATAAAATTTAAAAAGAAAGTTTAGATTAAGTGATGAAATCTTAAAGTGGACTGGTTTTAGATGACATTAAGGAATTTGTAACTATTCTGTTTGGTATACTAATTCCATGGTGATTATATAAAAACCAAAATCCCTTAACAATTAAAAATACATACTAAAATATTTTTAATGAAATGACATGACATCTATGATTTCCTTTAAAATACACAAAAGAAAAACAGTCAGAGAAGATGAATCAGTCAGAAATTACCTTGCCACACAAGCCTGAGGATCTGAGTTCAGATCCCCAGCACCAATATAAAAAGCTGGGTACAGCAAACATCACTAACACCAGCACCAGGGCATAGAAACAGGCAGACCTCTGCTCACTGGCCAGCAACCGTAACCAAACTGGTGTGCTCCAGGTTAGTGGGAGACCGTCTTAAGCTACTCAAACACACACACTCACATAAACATGTACATACAATATACACCAGTGGGAATATGAAAATATCAGCAAATGGTAATTACTGAGTACATGGAGTCTTGTTTTACTTACTACTTCTGTATGTTTGTGAATTTCCGTAACAGAAAGCAAGGGGACTGTCCTAAGGACGTCAAGCATACCTATAAGTTCAGGCGGGCTTCTTTCATTAAACCTCTCACACAGGCGAATGAATGTCTCAGTATTCTCAGTCGTGGGGCATTCACCATGTCTGAGAACACAAACAGAAGTTGCTTGGAAAAGAAATTACAAACCTCAATAAAAGTTTTCAATGTTAGTAACGTATAACTTACCCTTTACACTGAAGTTTGATATACTTGATTCCTTCTTTTTCTATGTCATTTCTGTCATAGAACCTTGAAGTATTTGTCAGATCCACCAACAAGCTCATTTTAACCTTTAAAAAGAAGCAAATTTGCTAGTTACTCCATTTATTCCAAACAATGAGTAGGTGACAAGAACAGAGCTCATCCACTCCACTGAGCAGGAGTGCATGCTCACTGCTACCAAGCAGCTGACAGTGGAAAGTACCTTCTCAACTAAGAGTCCAAGCACTCCAGAAACAAGAGCTAGGCAGGTACTGGAAAATAATTCTAAACTAAGGAGGAGAGACAGTACAAGCAAAACAGACTCCACTGTCAACAATGTGAATTCAAAGAGGCAAACACTGCCACTGTTTTCTGTATCTACCTCTGGTCCCTACAAGCCTGAAGCTTAGAAGCAGGACAGCAATCTTCTGAAAGAGCACAGCTCTAACCCCAGCGCACATCACCCAGGTTTGAAGTAGTTACCACAACTGCTACTTATTATCTATTCATTATACTGTATTCAGCCTTAAAATATGTTAAGAAGCCATTTATGCAACAAATGTGTGTTCCTTTTCTATTTAATTTATTCTTCTATTTCCTAAAAATACACTAATGCCTAAAACTATATTCCTTCTAAAGAAGCACAGTAAAAATGAAAACAGAAGCCTGGTGTAGTGGCACACACTTTTAATCCTAGAAGCAGGCAGAACTCTTGAGTTTGAGGCCAGCCTGGTCTACAGATGAAGTTCTAGGACAGCCAGGGCTACACAGAGGGGGTAAAAAAAAAAAAATAAAAACTGAGGAGATGGCTCAGTGGACAAAGAGCCTGCTATGCAAGCATGAGAACCTGAGTTCGGATCCCCAGCACCCACATAAAAAGGCAGGTGTGGTAAGACACACCTGTAATCCCCGAGCTGGGAGGTGGAGACAGGATGATCCTCGGGGCTTTGTTGTCCGGCTAGTCTAGCCAAATCAGAAAGCTCCAGGTTCAGTGAAGGACCTTGTCTCAAAAAAATAAGTTGGAGAATGATAGAGGAAGACATCAGACATCAACCTCTGGCCTCTGCACGTATATTTCTCTTCCTGGATATCAGAAAGAAACAAGGTAAGGGTTTGAAAATAAATTAAAATCCTAACTTCATTTTCAATAAAAATGAGAATATAATTATAATCTAAATGGTGATAATAATCTAAATGGTTATTTTTAAAATGCAGTTCCAAAGCCTAGTGTAGTGGCTCATGCCTAGTACACAGAAGGTAGACTCAGGAGAAATAGGACTTCAAGGTCATCCTCAGCTGTATAGCAACTTTAAGCACAGCCTAAGTCACATGAGACCCTGTCCAAAAATCCATAAAATAAAATAGAGGGGAAAGAGAGAAGAAATAAATGCCTGAACTGAGCTCCAGAAAGAGTTAGTTCACATATCTTCCACAACATTCTGTCATACATAATTTGAAAGATGGCAAGAAAATATAACCAATGAAACTGAAGCTGAATTGATTTACCTACTGAAGGCCTTACATCATCTATAAGTGTAAATCCACCACATTAAACAGATAGGAAGACAAAAATCACATGATCATCTCATCAGATGCAGAAAGCACCTTTAACAACACTCAACATTCCTTCAAGGTAAAAGCCCAGGATGGACTAGTGATGTAAAGCAAGCTAACAGTCAAGATCAACATAAATGGAGAGAAACAAAAAACATTTCCGATAAAATCAGGAACAAGACAAAGATATCCACTCTCTCCATACCTATTCCATATAGTGCTTGAACAAAAGTACTTTGTCAAAAAGTAGCAGGATACAAAATTAACACAAAAAAATCAGTAATCAACCTATATACAAATGACAGACATACTAAGAAAAAAAACAGGGAAATCGTACTTTCCACAGTAGCTTCAAAAAAAGGAAAATCTATCTTGGGATAACTCTAAGCAAGCAAGTGGAAGACTTGTATAATTAAAATTTTAAGACATTCAAGAAAGAAATTGGAGGGGCCCAGATGCTGATCTTGCGGAACCCAGCAACTTGGAGGTGTTGGTCAGACTGCTCTACTGAACAACCTGCTCAGCTGAGACCCATTCAGGAGAGGTTTCAGAAGCCTACAGTTGGCAGGCTGAGGAAACAAGATCGGCGAAGGAGTTGACGAATGAGCAAAATGCAACCTGAGAACACAAAAGAAGACGCCGCCCAGCCACCAAACCAGATCACCAGAATCAGAAGCCTACCCTACACTGACTAGGAACAGGTAAGCCCCCATCTCCGGACACATACACACACACACACACACACACACACATAAATGGTAACAACACAATCCTGAATAACTGAATATTAAAAGCACTACTGGAATTATCACCATCATCTATATGTTGATGAATGGAATTAAATTAAAGACCCAGACACATTTCCACACACCTTTGGACACCTGATTTTTGACAAAGAAGCCAAAAATACACACTGGAGAAAATACAGCATCTTCAAAAAATGATCCTAGTCAAACTTCATGGCTATATGTAGAAAAATGCAAATAGATCCATCTCAATCACCCTTCAGGAAACTCAAGTCCAAATGGATCAAGGTCTAAACATAAGACCTGATACTCTGAATCTGAGAGAAGAGAAAGTGGGAAATAGACCTGAACTCATTGGCATGGGAAAGAACTTTCTGAACAGGACACCAATAGCACAGGCACTAAGAACAACAATCAATAAATAGGGCCTCATGAAACTGAAGTTCTGTATGGCAAAGGACACCATCATTCAGAACAGAGTAGTAGGTTATAGAATGAGAAAAGATCTTTACCAATTATACATCTGATAGATTAGTATCTAGAAAGCGTAAAGAACTTAAAAAACTAAACATCAAGAAAATAAACTAATTAAAAAACGGGGTACAGTACTAAGCATAAAGTTTTCAAAAGATGAAATACAAATGGCTGAGAAACAAAGAAATGTTCACTATCCTTACATATCAGAGAAATGCAAATTAAAATGACTTTGAGATATTTTTATTATACAAGTCAGAATGGCCAAGATCAATAAAACAATGGTAGCAAGGACACTGGGAAAGGGGAATACTTACTCATTGCTGGGGATAGTGCAAACTGTTACAGTCACTAATAAAAATCAGTGTGGCAATTCCTCAGGAAGCTGGGAATCTATCTACATAAAGATCCAGCTATACTACTCTTGAGCATATAACCAAAGGACTCTACTTCCTACTACAGAGATACTTACTCATCCATGTTCAATGCTGCTCTATTCATAACAGCCAGAAACTAGAAACAGCCTAGATGTCCACACATTTACAAAATGGAATATTATTCAGCTATTAAAAAATGAAATTTGCAAGTAAATGGATGGAGCGAGAATAATTCATCCTGAGAGAGGTAACCCAGACCCAAAAAGACAAATATTGTACACTATTCTCTTATATATAGATATTAGTTTTAAGTTTTCAATATGTGTGCTACAAACTGAATAGCCACAGGGGTTAGGTACCTAGTAATGGACCAGTGAGGAGGAGAGGATCTCCCAAGGAAGGAGAAAATAGAATATAGTGCTAGGGAGAAATAAGGGGGAAAGTAGAATGGAGGATTAAATGGGGGCAGCGGGGAAGGACAGGAGTAAGGGAGAAAAGAGGAGGGAATATGGGGAGGGACAACTAACACCAAAGGTCATTTCAGAAATCATATGGAAACCTACTGCTGTAGAAGTTTCTGGAAATAAATACATACATGAAAAGAATCTACCAATGAGAAATCTTATCTCAAAAACAAAAAGGTGAACAGCACCTGAGGAACCATACACAAGGTTGTCTTCTGGCCTCTATACCCATGTGTACACACATATCCCTCACAGGAAGACTGAAAACAGAGGGAATACTACATTAGTAGCAAAGAGCTTTGACTCTTACCTTCAGACTCTTTAGATAATTTGAGAGCATGCTGGGATGGAACCGGTTCTCTTCAGCAACTTGACTATCGTATCTTGGCCCCAGCATTGTCTTCAGAGGTAAGAATCTTCCTAAACATTAAGGTGAATAATAATTTTCATTATTTAAAGAAAGGACTAAAATTCTATAATTTGCTATTTCAAACCTGCCTTCTTAAAATAACATTTTGTCTTTGTTTTTCATTAAAGCACAGGCTCACATATGCCAGGCTGGCTTCAGACTCGCTGTGTAGTTGAGGATGACCTTGATCTTCTGATTCTCTTGTACCACTGGCCTGGCTTTATGCAGTGCTGAGTATGGAACCCAGGGCTTCATAGTGGTAAGCAAACATTATATTAAATGAACTACATCCCACCCCCACTTTGGTAATATCTTAAAATGAAACCCAAAATTATGAATGCAATTACCCATAATGTACTTTCACAATGAACAATATTTTAAAATGAGACTACTTTGAAACTCTGAAACACAGATTAATTAATTTGAATTAATTCTAAAATTTGACAATATAAACAAAGAAAAATTACCAATGAATGTAAATTCCATAAAGAATCTAAACTTGGGGCTGGAGAGATGACTCAGCTGTTAAGAGCACTTACAGCTCTTGTGGAGGATCTGGGTTCAATTCCCAGCACCCACATGGTGGTTCACAACCGCATGTTAACTCCAGTTCCAAAGGATCCGATTCCTTCTTCCGGCCTCCACAGACTCCTGCGCGCACATGGTGCACATAAACTTATACAGGCTCACACACATATATATAAATAAAACATAATAAAGAAATCCTTTTTTTAAGGAAACTTTAAACCACTAGAGTCATCTACTCCTGTAAGCAATAAACCCAATAAAACTCATTAGCTCACCAAGTTGGACTTTGGTAAGATCCTTACTTCTTGTCTATTGTCATTTCCCTATCTGGAGTAAGCAGGAATAGATATTCACATCTACCCAGGAATAGTATCTCACAGAATATACAATCTCCCAAAAGCTGGAGTTACAAGTGTGTACCAACACATCCAGTTTAACTCAATTTTTTTCAAGTTCTTAATTACATGGCTTTGGTATTTAGGGGCTTTCTTTTTTTGTTGTTGTTGTTGTTTGTTTGTTTATTTGTTATTTAAAGCAGGGATTATCAAGTTTAGCCTCAAACTTGATATGTAGTTGGGAATAACCCTGAACTACTGATTCTCCTACCTCAATTTTCAGAGTGCTGGGATCATAGGCATTCCCCCAACAGAACTGGTTCATGTAATGCTAGAGATCAAAACTAGAGCTTTGTGCATGCTACTAACTAAAGGACTTTCCCAGCCCTGGTTACATGTGAGGGTTGTAAAGTATTTCCATCTTTGAACTTTATCTACATCTCAGAAAAAAAGAGCATGGAGGATTTGTTATAGTGTTAAAATAGTATTAACCAAAATCACTTGCTAAAGACTTACCGTTTTGTGCCTTTTTTTTTTAACAGTATAAGCCCAGGGAAATCACCTTAAATAAGCAATTTTTAAATATCTATTTGTCATGGTTTAGATTTTTGACTATTTTTAAGACAGAGTTTCATGCCAGATGGTGGTGGCACATACCTTTAATCCTAGTACTAGGGAGGCAGAGGTAGGCGGATCTCTTTGAGTTTAAGGCCAGCCTGTTCTACATAGTGGGTTCCAGGACAGGCTCCAAAGCTATACAGAGAAACCCTGTCTCAAAAAAACAAAAAGAAAAAAGAAAAAGAGGGAGCCTCATGATCTAGCCCAGGCTATCACTATATAGATAAGGTGGCATTAAACTAGCAATGAATCTCCTGCCTCGGTTACCAAGTGCTGAGATTACATTACAGTTGATTTGTAGTTCTTAAGTCTCTCAAACATCCAGTGTTGAAGGTTTATTCCCTAATGTGGCGGTGTTCACAGACACAACATCTCGGAGGTGAGTAGATCACGAGGGCTCTGACCTCATGAACAAATTCACTCATAGATTCCTAACTTAATGGGTTACTAGGAGGTGACAGAAACACTCGCAGGAGTTGTCTATTTGGAAGAAGTCCCTGAAAGAAGCATATCCTTAAAGGGTATACCTTGATTTTGGACCCTTCTTTACTTTCTGGCCACCAAGAAGAGAACAGTTTGTTCCACCATCTCAGTCATGATGTTCTGACTTACTAGATGTCCTCAAGAACCAACGGAGTAGGGTATGTAACTACAGACTGAAACTTCTCAAATTATGAACCAAAAAAAAAAAAAAAAAAAAAACAGATTCTTGCATCACTTGAAATAGTAGTGCAGGCCTGTAATGCCAGCACTGGGGACACAGTGGAAGGAGCATCCCAAGTTCTAGGCCAACCTAGCTATATAGAAAGAATGTGTCTCAAAAAAAAAGTAATCACCTTCTTTTTTCCCCCTTTTTGTGGTAATATGGACTATATTTAGGGCTCTGTGCATACTAGTTAGGTGCTCTAACACTGAGCTACATCCCCAACCCCTTTGGTTTTGTTTTTAATTTTGAGACAGGGGTTATTACATTACTCAAGCTAGCCTTGTGATCAGGAACTTGTGATCAGCTCCTCTGAATAGACAGGACTGATTACAAGTGTGCCCCACCAGGCCCAGACAACTTTTCTTCTTTTTTAAGTATTCATTTTTATTTTATGTGTGTTTGTCTACATGTATATATGTGCACCACATGGGTGTTTGGTGCCCTGGGAGGCCAAAAGAAAAATCAGATCCCCTAGAACTGAAGTTATCTACCAAGTGGATTCTGGGAAACAAACCTGGGTCCTCTGTAAGAGGAGCAAACACTCTTAACCAGTGAGCCCAAAACCTTTCTTCTTTATTACAAGTTGATACCTCAGGAATTTTGTCACAGTAATAGAAATATAAATAATGCACTACTTAAACTGATTTATATTTTCAAACATAATATAAACAACAAGGATAGCTAACTAAAATGTCATTCACCCTGGCCGGGTGTGGTGGCACACGCCTTTAGTCCCAGCACTTGGGAGGGAGAAGCAATCAGATCTTTCCGCGTTTGAGGCCAATCTGGTCTACAAACTGAGTTCCAGGACAGCCAGGGATACACAGAGAAACCCTGTCCAAAAAAAAAAAAAAAAAAAAGACACTCACCCAAGTATGACATTTCTTTTAATTTTTGTTTTTTATAAAACTCAAAAGCATTGAGCATTCCTCCACACTGCTAAATTCAATGGTCAAGTCTCATTTCTCAACTTACTTGAACTCTCAAATATATGAAACAACTGTCCAAGACTGCTGGTAAAGACCAATAATTCCAACTATTCAGAAAAATGAGGCAGAAAGATCAAAACACCAAAGTTTACCTGGGTTGCAGAAAGAATTCAAAGCCAAAATAGTAAGGAATGCAGATAAAACTCATTGAAAGAGTATTACCTAGAATGCACAAGGCCATAGGTTCAATCTTCAGTACATGGGGGAGTGGGAGGACAACTGATTAATTTTTTTGAAAGAGGAACTTTTTTTTGCATGCCTAAGTGCAGTGTGTGTGTGTGTGTGTGTGTGTGTGTGTGTGTGTGTGTGTGTGTGTAAAATCACATGTATATGCATACATATATCTATGTATGTATGTGGAAGCCAGAGGTCAGCTCTGGTGTTGTTCCTTAGGAGACACGCACCTTTTAACTTTTTAAACTATCTCTCACTGGGAACACTGGCTGTCAGATTAGGCTACATTGATAGCCCCAGGGATCTGCCCATCTCTGCTTCCCCAATGCTAGGATTACAAGCATGCACAACACCAAGCTTTTTACTTGGGCACTAGGAATCCAACTCAGATCTTCATGCCTGCAAGAAAATACTTTACCAACTGAGCCATCTCTCTAGCTCAAGAATGAATTCTTAGATCATTTTCTTTCAGGACTTTCCTACACCTCTTGCTCTTATACCTGCTTAGCATTGCCTTAGGTTCTTCTACCTGGCTCTACTGTAGCTTCCTGCTTTGTCTTATCTTATACTTTTCTTCCATCTGCATTCACTCCTTTGATGTCTCATCTACTCTGATAAGGTTAATAGCTAAAGATGTGCTTTTTTTCCCCCTTGTATCCCTGGATGGCCTAGAACTCACTATGCACAGTCCAGACTAACCTTGACTTTATACATCCTGATCCTCCTGCCTCAGCCTCCTGAGAACTGAGATTACAGGTATATACCTCCATACCCAGTTCTGATGAGTAAACGTTTATCTCCAATCTAAACCTCTCTCTTAGGTGGACATGCATGAGACAAGATTCCTATAATCTCAGCCTGAAAAGCAGAGGCAGGGGATCTAGATATATAGTGGATTCAAGGGCAGTATGAACTATAAGAGACCCTGTGTCAAAAACATTAATTATTGTGGTAGGGCACGCCATTAATCCCAGTACTTAGGAGGCAGAGGCATGTGGACCTCTGTGAGCTCAAGGCCAGCCTGGTCTACATATGGAGTTCCAAGACAGCCAGGACTACGTAGGGAGCCTCTGTCTCAAAAAAGAAAATAAAAATTAACAAAAAATTTAAAAACTTTTCTTAATTTTATTATCAAACCACTGGTCTTATTCTCTGACTTTAACATACATCTCTGATTTGATATCCAAATTTGATCTCTCAATATTCAAACTCTTTTTACTGGTTTTTCCTCATCTCAGCTAATAATGGCATCATTCTTTTAGTAGTTGTGGAGGCAGTGTCTGATAATATCTTTACTTTCAAAATTTTTCATTTATGATTTGTGTGTGTGTGTGTGTGTGTGTGTGACAGAGAGGGGGAGGGAGAGATGTGTATGAATGCTGATGCATGTGTCCCTAAACATGTATGGAAGTTAGAAGACAACAGTGGAGTCAATTCTCTCCTTCCACTGTGAGCTGAGGATCAAACTTAAGTTATCAGGCTTACAGAGCAAGTGCTTTGACTCTGAGCAGCCACGGTGGTCCAGAATCTAATAATATCTGTTAGTATTACCTGTTTCCTCATCATATTTCCTCTTGTTTTGCCATATTTTTATTAACATGTATTTTTCTTTTATGTTTGCCTAAGTGTGTGTATGTGTACCACATGTGTGCCCAGGGACT